TCCAGGCCATTAAAATTAAATATCACAACTATACTCTCTTAGCTTAGAACGAACGACGACGCATCGGTTTAAATTTATAATATATATGTATATATATATATATATATATATATATATATATATATTCATATATACATATATATCAAAGCTATTTCATACTTCATTCTCAAATTGGATCGATGAATAATAAATAAGATGGTGCTAGATGAGTGTTAGAGTTGTTTCATATGCAGCGGTAAAAAGCAATTTATTATCTATTTTTATTTATATGCTCGTAATTATAATTATTTCCGTAGTTTATTATATGTTTATATAAGCCTCATTCGTATGTAAAATATTTATTTGTTGTTGATATCAGGAGATAAAAGGCAATATCAGAAACTCCATAACAAAAGTATGTTCTTTCGTTGTTAGTTTGTTTGGTTTTGAGCACTGTATGTTAATAAATTTAAAATAAGCTTTATTGTTTGTATTACTCCAACTTACTGACTTTGGAGTTCAATTATTAGCCTAATTGTTTTCATAATTACCGCCCCATAATTATCCAGAATTTTCGATAGTCCGACATAGGTCGATACCGACCAAGCCGAACTAAAGACTTCTAATGTACATACATTTGATAAGTTATTTGGCTTTAATATTATAAGATTTTGAAAGTTTTCCAAAATCATTTTATACGTTCTGAATTAAATAATACAAGCAATGCAAACGCTTAAATTTTTAAACCTTTACGTAGATAGTAAGATCTGTTAGAATCCTGTGAACGTTCTAATTGAAGCTTAATTCACAAACTAATGGTTCATGTCATTCTACCTTGAAGCAAATTGCTGAATTTTACCGTACCGTAAATTAACATTTTTAATAGTTGTAAAAATTTTAAACACATTTGAAAAATTTTCAATTATCTGAAAAACTTGAACAAATCGACATTTTTGATAATTTTGTATCATTTGAACTTAAATAAACCATGGCCCAGAACCTATAGAAAACTAAACAAAATTTGCACCTATTATTAAAATCTCTATAAAATTACTATATATGTAGGAAGAAACGTTATATAATATTTAAATTACATCGCATCATATATATATGCATGCTCGATCATTTATTCTTATAGCAAAATATTCCCTTGGCGGTTATAACCGCGACCTTTTGCGAATAACTCATCTGTTTTAATTGTATTTTTGTCCCAAAATTGAACGTATATCATTTGATATATACAAATATACAAATATATATATATATATATATATATATATATATATTAATATACATATATTAATATACATACATATATGTATACAACGTTTATAACAGTAGGTTTGATACTTTCTTCAATTGTTTAACGTAATATTTAATCCTCATATATTTCAAAAATTCCGAATGTTCTTAAGATTTTAAGTAATCTTGAGAATCAAAATATTCTACAGCTTCTAAATATTCCAAATAGTATTCTATCAATCTAAAATATTCTAAAAATCAATTTTTTTTTTCTTCAGGTTATTTGGAGGGCTAAAATCATAGGTACCATCTGGTGCCAAATTTTTTTGTGATCCCCCATTTTAAAATGTTTTAGAATTATAATTTTTTGGCTATTTTTCTCTGTATTCTCGAAACAATAAATATTAACTTGTGAAATACTAGTATATTTGTAAAAAAAATTTTTTTGATTTTGTACGGCCTCTTAAATCACGAATAAAATTCATTTTCTCTAGATCAAAAGACTCCTTTAAAAATCAACCTGATACATAATAATAAATTTAATACTTGTCAGTATTGATAAGTATTCAAATCTCTCACAATTTTAGCATAAATCAACCCAAGTGAAGACAAAGAATTAAAGAACAATCCTCGTCGCATTTTCTGTAAACAAAAAGTATAAATTTAAACTACGTACATTATATTCGAGGCGATTCCTTTTCTAGATGTATGTAAATTAACAGTTAGGTTATAGGAAGAACAATGGCTGTTACACAAATTCACTCATTTATTTTTATAGTCCGGTCTCCATACGAATTTAAAAAAGATACTATTTTATGATTACGAGGCTGTAGGTATGAATAATAATACTATATTATTAGAATGCACGGCATAAATTAAGCATAAAAACTTTTAAAGCGTTATTGTCGAAAGGTGTAGGGCTGGGGGTGGAATTACTCACGATGATTGGACTTCTTATTTTTTGTGTATTTTTATATTCGAACAATCCAATTCATTTTGTGCTAAACTAAAAGGCCAATTCTCGAATAAAATAGAAATGTTATGCTAATGCTATGTTACGGGTCTATGTTCGTATGAATTGATAGTACCGAATTATCTAAAAGCTATGGTTTTGCTATGCAATCAGGCGTTTTACACACAAAACTTTTCTTCACCTCCTTTTATCAAGAAGACATAAGAAAGTTGGATTTATAATAAAATTGTTATTGGACGTTTCTGCGTTTTGTAGATTAGATTCTATGTGTAATACATAGGTTTTCGACAGTTTGTTACAACCAGCTCATACGAAGATAGACCCGTAATATAGCATCACCATAACATTTCTATTTTATCAGATAATTGTCCCATATGTATTTTTTGACTAAAATTTAAAGGTATTAAGTTTTAATAAATTTAATGGTATTTTAAAATAATATGATTTACAATTTTCAATTTAATTATAATTTGCAGAAATGACTTGAAAAACTTTTAGTACAGAAATTATGTTGAAGAAAAATGCTATAATTATATAATAAAAATAATAAAGATGAAATATGTTGAATTGGTATAATACAAATTGATAAAAAAATATGAAAAACTGATCCAAAATGTAAGATACTGTTCAAGAACATAAACAACTAATCAATAATAGATAAAAATAATTAATATATAAAAAGATAATTAAAAATTTAAGATACTGATTCAAAATGCAATAAACATGTAAATGCAATTGCTATTGGTTCAAAAAATAAAATTTAATTAATATCTATCAGATCAAAAATTTAAGAAATCGGTCAAAAATCAAAATAATAGGTAAAAGTTCATAAAACTGATAAATTCATGAATCTGGTTAAAATTTACAAAACTAGTAGAAAATTCGTAAAACTGGTTACAAATTCATATAAATGGTTAAAAATTCAAGAACGTAGTCACAAATTCGAAAAATTATTTAGCAATTCAAAAAAGTGATCAAAAAATCAAGAGAAGTGATCAAAAATTCAGAGCAAGTATTTGAAAATCAAGAAAGTGGTCAATATTTTAAGAAAGTAGTCAAAAATTCAAGAAATTAATCAGCAGTTCAAAAAAGTAATCAATAACTCGAGAAAAGTAATCAAAAACTTTGAAGAAGTATTTAAAAATCGAGAAAAGTAGTCGAAAATTCAAGAAATTTGTCAAAAATTAAAAAATGTAATCAAAAATAAAAAAGTAATCAAAAATGTAGAAAAAGTATTCAAAAAATCTAGAAAGTGGTCAAAATTTAGGAAAATAGTCAAATATGTAAGAAACGACTGTGAAATTTGAAAAAGACTGATAAAAATTTCAGAAACTGTTAATCCAAATATTTGCAAATTAGTATTTTTAATTATTTGTACGTAAATTTGATTTCTATATATAGCATTTATAGTAATCTATGTATTAATAAATTAATTGCAAAAACAGTTGCAACAATACACACTGCAGCTATACTGAAAACTATTGAATTCATCTTATATATATTTATATTACGTCAATATTATAGTTTACTATTATTATTATATTCTATATTTGATCATATTAAAAATAAATATCTTCAAATTATCCACTGGCTCTCCGTCTACTTCCAGAACATCTTGTCCCATAGAACGGCGCGGCGCTTGATATAAATTTTAATTATGAAAAAAAGCAGTTAGAGAAAAAATAAACGTAAGAATTAAGTTTAATTCGAAAGCAGCCGCGGGAATAATATGCTCTTAATAATTATTTACGATTCGATTGCGACAATAAAAATAAAATATAATTGTCTTTTAGGAAAACCTACGTATTCATTCATTTTATATTTTTTGAACCCAAAGGGAAAAATGTTTGAATTATTTTATGCAAAATAATTGTATTGGGTTTTGTTTATATATACATTGTCTATACATGATTCAGTTTAGTTATAATAATAAATAGTAGTTTGCCCAAAAGCAGGTCCATGGTGACATCACCACTAATCAATGATTTCTTCTATCTCTTTTTCCAACTTTGATCTCAAATGATTCAGAATGTCCTAAAATGTCGGTAAAACTAGCAAGTCACAAGCCTATGTTTATTCTTCAGGAAGTCCATAAGTTAAAATATTAGTGTTTTTTAATTCAATTGCTCAAGTATTTTTCCCTACTAAATGATTTGACACATTTAATTCTCGAAATTTCGACGCATTGACAGTAAACCTATAATCAAATTGCATGTGTCAAAATCGAACAAAAAAAAATATCAAAATATATATTTATTTATCTAGGTAGCTGAAACATTTAAATTGAAACAAAATACAGTCCACAATTCGCAATCCCCTAAAAATGTTCACGAAATTTTAATGTTTTCTGGTAGCTTACCAGATATGATTCTAAATTATAAATAAAATAAATTGCTGTTTTGGTAATAACCAATATCCCACGTGTGTATAAACCAAACGAAAAATAAAATTGCCTGGAAATATTTCCGAACTTGAAGATACACAATCACAATGGGCTAATGTTAGAAATGGAACTTCATCAGGACGCGGATTCAGGGGAAAACGATATCGAACAGGATTGGGATGAGGAATATAATAATCAGGTCATATCATAATTATTTATAAACTTCAGTTTTAACTATCTGTCAAAATTCTTTTAAAATGAATTAGTTTAATATTGAAAACATTAAACTAATAAACAGTATATGAAATGAATAAGAATAATGTCTAACTAACAAATCTTTAAAATAATATGTTTAATTTTTTTAATATCTTATTAATATCTTAAATATTTAGATACATTAAAAGGAAAACAAATCGTGTATAGATGACTTCAAGAATAGTAGGGCTAGGGCTACTAATATGGGATATGATGCATGTGAAGATGAATTTAGATCTTAATTGGCGTGCGGTATTGGTCAAATCTGGTTGCCTTATGGTCATTATCAGAATAAGTAAGGCGTAGAAAAATTTCAGCTTATAACTTATTCTATTTACTAAATCATTGTCTTTTGTACAGGCAGAAGACAGAGAGAAGAGTTGGTCACAAAGAGACCAGGAGTACCATATAGTATGATACCATAAGAAGCCAATAATAACACTCGACTCTCTAGTTCCTCGCTCTATATGTTGATTAGCCTTCTGCCGCAATATTTCGTTTATTCCTTGAAGAGATGTATCGACCATTATAAGCTCAATGGAATTTTTTGAAGTCTGCACCACCCCAAGAAAACTATTCTTCAAGGAGAAGATTCGTACATCCATCCTTATGTTCTTATTCCAAGTCCTTGCCGGAATCTTTTTCCCCTGACTCCGCGATCCTGATCAAAGTCCATGTCTTATATTTGCTCATTATATTCGCTTTAGACATTTTTGTCTTTCATATTGTTTTACATTTGTTAAATTTAAATTGAGACCGATGAAGAAATGTGGTTTTGTCAATAATTGTAGGTAATTTCTGATAAATTATCAGAAAATACTAAAATATCTTGAGAATGTTATTTGTATGATTTGGATATATTAAATGAGAAATTAAACAGAAGTATCAAATAGTTGGTTTGATATTTTCTTTCTATTTATCATAATTGTATACTATTCGAGATACTTTTTTTCATATATTATTCTGTTTAGACATTCTTTTAAACATTTTTAATATTCGAATATCATGCTGGATCTAGCAGTTTTCTATTACTTATTACTTTTTAAAAGTAAATTTAAATTTAAAATTTCGTAATAACTTACTTATTACTTTTTAACCTTCTAGTGGCTATGATTTTCACAGTGTAGTAATAAATTAATAATAAATTTGATGCCAATTTTCCTTTATTTTTCATAAGTATGCATCTAACTTGAATTCGTAATTTATAATAAATTCGTTGGACTATTAAAAAATATTTTAACATAGATTATATACAAGTAATGTATGGCCAATTGAAACTTCAATTGTTCATATCATTTACTAATAATACTAAAATGGTCAGAGTAGTTTTGTACAAACTTTAGACATATTTAATAAACAAACTAGTGGTGCATGAAATTGTGACTTAAGACAAATTGCTGGAACTTCCCGTAAGATGATGAAATATTCGAAGGATATTATAACTTTTCAAATATATTATTATAAGCACTGAAACTTTCATTATTTGTATTTTATAGACAAAATATAAGAACTTATGAATTAGACGATGACGCTTATATAAGTTTACATGAAAAAAAAATAAACAAAACTTAATGAAGCGTAGTTATATTGAAGGATTTTATCTCATATTTTTAGAAATTATATGAACTGAATTGCAATGTTAAAACGATTTATTTGAAGTATACAAGTGAGCTTTAGGATTTTATCTAAAATTAAAATTAAAATCCGAATAATTTTTAAAATTTAATTAAATTAGACAAAAATTGAAATTTTGACATAATTGAAAAAAATGCGTTCACCGAAAACCAATCGTTTCTTCATACTGTCAAAACAAGCAAAAACTTTTTTCTGAGTCATTCAAATCGAATGCTATATTCTCTCAAAAACTACAACTTTTTGCACATTTAGCTCTGTATCTCCCAAACGGCTAGGCCTGTCTTTGCCAAATATAAATCACCACTTCAGCATCGTTACAAATTGAATGTTTTAAATTGAATGAATGTTTTAATCTTTCAAATCGGATACTCTCAAAAACTTGATCTATATTTTCTGCACTATTTGCTCCATATCTCGGAAACGGCTAAACCTGCCCTTTCCAAAAACAAATCAGCACGTCTCCTCCCCATCAGTAAAAATCGTTTTAGTTTTTTGAATATTTCAAATCGGTTGATCCGTGCCACCGAAATCATGGATGAAAAATTGTGGACACACAAAATACACACACACCTACATATGCGTGAGTTTTTTCTAAGTAAGGTTTGTGAAAATGTTCAGAAATAAAGTAATGACGTGAGCTTTTCTAAAAAAAAATTAATAAACATACGGTTTCAGGTTAAACCCTCTCCACTCGGAATTTGCTAGGAAAAAGAGTGATATATAATGTTGTGGAATATTGAAACATGAAGATATGCAAAAATTTCATTTTCGATTTTTTGAGAGTATATGTTACAGTAAACTTACTCTACGGGAAGTTACTATTATTATCTATTACTGCTTAATATTAGCATTGTAAACAAATCATAAATAATTCAAGCAATTCGAAAATATCCATTACCAAAATATCGTTTGTTCTATATTATCGTATGTATTTATATATGCTCTGAGCATTCATACAATGCAGGGTCGGAGGGTGAGTCGGTGGCGTTATTGTGCCCCTTTTATTATTTATTGCCTATTTCTTTTGGTTTATTAATCATATTGACGATGCCGAATGCCGTATGCAAATGAGAATCTATACGCGGAGCAAAAAAGTCGTTAGGCGAAGAGATCGCGTACGTACGATCAGGGAAGGAAAAGGTAAGGGTCCCATGTAAAAATACATTTGAGTTTTTACAATTTATATTTGATGTATACAGTAGGCCCTCGCTTTACACGGCACTCTGGGTACACGGTTCCCATACTACACGGAGCAAAAATCCGACATCCCTCCGACTACACGGACTTCTTATTACACGGTATTTGGTCAACAGCCCATAAGTTCGTTGTGCAAAAGGGTATTGATGTAAATTTTGTTATCGACTTTTATCTTTAGACATGCCTGATTGTATAATAGTCGCCTAAGAACACGTTTGAGCTGACTACTGCGTCGCGCCAATTTTTGAATAAGGTGTCAATGTCCTACATGTCATTTCGTCCGTATTTCTTCTACTTCAAGTTGTATTTCTTGGTCTCCATACAACGCGATAAAAATGGTGCGATTTGTACCAACTCTGAGTCTCTCATAGCACGGATCCCATACTGCACTATGTAAGGTTCCATAGAACGCACTACGAATTAGCCTGAATTCTATGTTAAATACGAGTTTCTTATAGCACGGTTCCTATACTGCACGGTACGCACTTGCCGCGTAAAGCGAGGGTTTACTGTATATATATATATATATATATATATATATATATATATCTAGCGACCGATTTTAATAATTTAAAAAAACTTTTTATTTGTATTGACAAGATGAAGATTTGATCAAATTCATTAATGCAAGTTTAGCGTTTGGGAGATCTAGTGGAAAAAGTAAAAATAAATGCCATTGGCGGTCAAAAATGATCATTAGACATATGCACATCAAATTATCAGATATTCATAGAGATTTTAACAATAAATATGTTGGCAAACTTTTAGTACTATAAAAGTAAAATTTGTTGTTTTAGTATGTAACATTTTAATTTCTCAATAAAATTAAAGGTTAATTATTGCAGATACAATAATATAATACTGTATTAAGTAATTTAAAACTATAAAATGTGGAACATATCAATTGCTTATTTTTTGCTATTTCCAGTTGGTTATTAATTAAAAACAAAATTATATTTCAAGAATATTTGGGTCCTTTAGACAGAAAACAATTAGTAAAATTTATATGCATGTGAATGTTGTAAAAACGGTATACAAATCAATATAATTAAATGTAATAATAATAATGTATTAAACGGTATAAAAATCAATAAAATTAAATGTGAAATGCAAGACGAATAATTTAAAAGTTGCAAACGAACCAGTGGTAAAAACTTTAAGAGCAATAATAATATGTAAAAATCATTCAATATTGTTTATAAAAATATTAAACAATTTCAAAATGCTCTCTAAATCTGGACTTTCGTATTATTGAATATATGAGAGTTATCAAAATGCTAACAATTCAGATTGAAACATTTTAATTTCAAGTAAAAATTTAAAAAATTTTAGATTAACATGAAAAGTCTGTATATATATTAAGATTTGATACAGTTCTGTACTGCTAAACCAGAAACTTATATATATATATATATATATATATATATATATATTTATATATTATACTTAGATGTTTTTGCAGTTATATTAAATAAACCAAAAATACCAGCGTCTCCAGATATATAACTATAATTTAGTATAATTTAATCATAATTATCACAATTCTTATTACTCCAGTTTTTTATTTCACCATTAAAAACATTTAGAAATTTGTTGTAATTTACACAAATATTAGGTATTAAATAGGATAGAGTAAAAATTTTAGATAAATTAAGTTTGAACCCCAACAAAAATATGTATGCGACATAATATTAAAATTTTTAGCAAGTCGACAACTTAAATTTGTAAGTGCTCGATTATTTCTTACACTTAAATTTTTTCTGTTTACTAATGTATAATTATAATATTTGCCAATAAAACATATTACAAATGCTAACCACATTACCAGCATGGCATTATTTATAAAATGTCACCCAGATAATATTAGCATTATTAATCAATTTTTCAGTTACAAGAAAGGAAGTTTTATAGCCATATAATTATTATTATGAAAAACTATTGCTAAAATTCTAATCTTTGTCTATAGAACTTAAGGCAATATGCTACAAAACTCTCTATCGTCTTTGTCATTTTTATTGAAAAAAAGAACATGCCTAATTATAATTTTACCCCCTATTATAGTCAACCTTGTCCATCAATTTCGATTGCACTTATTCCTTATGTATCATGTACGCGAGAAAGCAGCCCGAATAATATATGCATACGTATAAGCGATGCCGCGTATACAGTTACTTTTATATTCGAAAGACTGATGCTTTCGACGGGGGTAGGTTCTAGGTTGCTAAGCTGAATTCGCGATCATAAGAAGAAATCATCTTTATTGCCACTCAGCGGCAAATACACTAATACGAAAATATATATCAACTCGGAAAAAATACTCACTACTTATATATCATGCACCTCCTTGAGACATAGAGAGCACATGCAAATTTATGACGTCGTTGATGGATTCATTTATTTGAGAAAGGAACAAAAAATTAAAAAACAATATGGTGGCATTAATTTACTAGTCAATAACTAATTCAATAATTGTTATGAACCATTACTTCATAACGTGAATTTTAGAAAGAGTTGGTGATCCACCGAGATGCTTGGGTTTCTAGTAAAATAGTACACTTGAGGC